TTGTGTAGTAACGACTCTGATTTGTCCGAAGGGCCAGAGGCAATGCGCTAGTTTTTCGATAAACGTGGCTATCCTGTCTCTGTCGTTCAAGCGGACCACCACCGTGCCCAACAAATTGATCGACAGTCAGCACTACAAACGGCTGAGAACGATAACACTGACCGCATTCTATTTACTCTTACATTTCACCCTCGCAACCACGCAGTTAAATCTATCATTCTTAAAAATTTTAAATTACTCCAAAACGATTCAGAGACTGGCACTATCTTTTCGCAACCCCCCACTTATTTCATTCAAACGTGACAAAAACATAGGCAACTTTTTAGTCAGGAGTTCATTTCAAACCAATGATCAATCTGGAACTTTCAAATGCGCTCGCTCACGATGCAAAACTTGTTCTTTCATTCATAACGTACAGAAAATATCGGGACCCAAGAGATCCATTAAGATCACTGATCACTTTACGTGTACCTCCGCCAATGTTATTTACTGCATAACTTGCACTTATTGCAATAAGTTATACATCGGCGAAACAGGAAGACGACACTAGGTGACCGATTCCGAGAACACCTTCGCGACGTGGAAAGAAATGACAAGGACGCATCCAAACCAGTCAGTAGACACTTTAATCTTCCTAATCATTCTATACAGCATGTGGCAGTTTGCGGCCTTTCCTTACATCTAGGCAGTTCGGAAAGCCATAAAACATTAGAACAAAAATTTATCTTCCAAATCGGCACCCTTGATCCCCACGGAATCAACGAGCGCTTTTCATTCAACTAATTTATTCCTGTTTTCTCGTCACCATATTCCCACCAATGGCGTGGCTCCACTTGCTGCATATAAACCCACACACAACCCTCAATTCCTCCAATCGCTCTTATTCTAAGTGTTTGCTCTTGAATGTCACAGGTAAAAGGCTAAGGTCTATTGCTAAACAACAGTGTGAGATAGAACTACAATTTTGTTTAAATGATAAGGTTTTATGAAAGCATAAATTAGTCTCTCTATTATGAGAATATCTAAACAGCTTTGAGCAGCGACTACATTAAGCTTCCTACTTCTTCCTATTCGTAATGGTAATAGGACTGAGTGGAGTCCAATTCGCTCTGTAATCATACGAGTGACTAACAAATTTGTTTATCGCTCATATGATTACTGACAGAATTGGACGACAAGAAGTCCTGTTACCAATTAATCATAACCGTTTCAATTTCCGAAAATAACAAATACATTTAGGAGTAATATCTCCGGTAGAGACAATGTCTAAAATAAAAAATTTCTTCATTGTGAAAATTCCCAATTTCTTTTTTTAGGATAAGTGGCTGTTGCTATGGTTATTTTGTTTTATTCTGTGATTAGTGGATTTGGCTGAGAGGACGTAGTATGATTGACTACTTCAACTGTCCAATACACTATCCGATTACAGTCAACTGTCCGATTGCACTGTTCGATTACAGCTCTACAGAATGTATAATGAAAAATAAAGCAGCTAATGCACCAATCACATTTGAGGAAATTATAATGGTTATGATGAAATGACATATCCGACGGGATGCGTTATCTAATAGCATCGTCACGCTACGTACTCGCTTGAAATAACTAAGAAAGGGTGTAATGGAAGATCTAATCCCCTGGACAGCAAAGCGCTTGTCTGATTGTCTGCTTAACTGCTCTTCTTACTTCACTAATCTTCCAGCAGTAAAGAAACGGATTTAAAGTCGAGTTAAAATAAACCAGAGTATTCGCTATTCCAAGAGCGACGACTAAATGCGATGAATTTCCTTTTCTATGAGCCATCACAATTCCCACTAAACTCACAGGCACATAACAAGCAAGTAACACTAACTGCACCCACAGTGCACTGTACACTGCCTTTTTGTATCGCGCCATGTTCAGTGCATTTGGTTGGCTCGGCTGTTGTTGAACATGATGTTGTACTTGAGCTTGACGATGACTAAGAACGCGGAAAATCTTTGCATATGAAGCAATCGAGACTAATAGGCAACATGGGATGACAATTCGACCGAACCAGGGCGCTATATGAGAGCCTAACGCCTCGCATAGAGTAGCGACAACGGTTACAATCCAAAGAGCAACGACAATGATATATGTGCGCTTCAAAGTTACAATTTGTCTATATCTCAGCCCCAACAACAGGGCGAGAAGTCTGTCCACGCTCATGGCTGCCAGTGTCAACAAAGATACAAAAGATAATCCATACCCTGAAATGGAGGCTGCTACCCATGCGAGTCGACAAAGTCTCCACTGTTCGAAAACAACCGACATCCAAAGAGTAGCAGTGAGAGGCTGGCCTATAAGACCAACCAACAGATCACTCGTTGCCAGACAACGGTACAGGAGTTTGGACGGCGGATGGAGGGAAGCCACCTTGTGAAGTGCAACGACGATCAGGGCATTCCCAAGAAATGCTGTAAGGGAAAAGAAAATGATGACTGCTGACAGACGCAAGGAGTATTGTCGCAATTCGCCCTCCGAAGAAGAGGAACATACAAGTTCTTCAAATGTTTTCATCTGCGTTCCATCTTCCGTTGAGTTTGTTGCCGCCATCATTCTGCAAACGATGTACGTTTTCCCTTACGGTTACTTGTAATTGTAACGATCGAGAGATTTTTGTTCTTAAAAGCACCTGTCTAGCTGAAATACACAAAAACACCGTGTGGGGTGTCAAAAAAGGTAAATTTGTTCCACGAATTTTCCATATGCCTCAGGTATCAATAAGAATTGAGAGGCAAGCTTGAAGACATCCGTTACCATCATCTTTGAATAGTATGATAAAGAAAACCCTCTTTACTCGGTTAACGTTCATTGAGGATTGGTATCACTTAAGCAATTGTTTCTAGACCATGCATGCAAGAGGCTTTTCTTCTTATTCATCTTTTGTTGTATCGAAGATAAGTGCCTTCACTTGAACAATTCTGTTATCATCATTTTTGAATAGTATGGCAAAGAAAAACCCTCTTTACTTGGTTAACGTTCGGTGAGGATTGATATCACTCAAGCAATTGTTTCTAGACCATACGTGCAAGAGGCTTTTCTCCTTATTCATCTTTTGTTGTATCGAAGATAAGTGTCTTCACTTCAACAATGATGTGCTTGGGATGTTTAAGGTTATCGTTCGTTGTCTTTCATATGGAAATAGATCATATCAACAACAGTTTGCACGCTAATGAAATCGAATATCTAATGATAACCGTAACTTTGTAAAGCAACGGTCATTGAAACTCAAGCGGGATTTAAGTCCATGGGCGGCAGAGAGCTTGTCTGATCGTCTGCTTCAGTGTTTGTCTTACTTCAACGGGTTTGACGTTGAGTTAAAGTAAACTATGGAAACTGCTATTTCCCAAAAGATAGCTACATGTGATGAATACGTTTTGTTAGAGCTGGTAACGATTTCCATAACACCATATGGCACAGAACAAACAATAAAACATAACTACACTCGCGTTCGGTGCGATTAGTTGGCTTCGCTGACGTTAAACATGATTTCGTACTCAAACGTCATGACGACCGAGAGTGTGAAAGATCTTTGCGCACGAGGCGAGTTAAAACCAGACAAGATGGTATAATTAGAATGTCATAAAAAAGGTTATACGGCGATCAAAAATGATACATAGAGCAGCAACAGCAGCTGCAATCCAAAAGGCAGTTCAAACAATATATGTGATGACTAAGGGCGCCAAAAATCTTTGTGTACGAAGTGATTGATATCAATAAGTAAGATGGCCTGGTTACGTGAGTATACCAAATGTAATTTAAAATGAAGCTTAAAACAGCGGCATCAGATAAAACCTAAATATATGTGCGCTTCAAAGCCACAATTTGTCTGTATTTCAGTCCCAACAACAGGGCGAGAAGTCTGTCCAAGCTTATGGCCGCCATCGTCATCACAGAGCTACACATAATGCATAGCTTGTTATGTAGGCTGCGTCCCTTGGGTATCGTTTGTGAACCACGAGCATCCAATAAACAGCATTGAAGGGCTGGCTAACAAGACCAACAACAGATCAGTTGTTGCCAGACAACGATACAAGTGTTTGGACGGCGGATGAAGGGAAGATTCCCTGTGAAGGGCAACAAGGATAAGAAAATTGCCATGAAATGCTGTGATGAGAAGGAGAATGTTGACTGTTGATAAATAAATTGGTTTATATTGTAGTCCTCCAATCAAAGAAGGGGAGCATGTCTTCTTTTTTTGAAATGTTTCCGTTTGTTTTTCCTCATCTGTTAGATTTGTTTATTGTCATCATATGGCAATATAGGGTGGCTTCCTCACGGTAACTGCTAACCCAATACTCGTTAAAACTCACTTCACTGATAATTTTTTGCAGTTAGGCCTTAGTTCAGTACCAATTACTTATTTAAAATGCGCGAGTGATCCATCTAGTGATCCATTCCTGTTGATTTTAGTTTATTTTCATTCAATGTTCGCTAAACTCTTCAATAAAAGTATCCGTGGTAAAATGATAAATAATAGAACTCTGTATAAACTAAATATCTCCTAATTAACCTCACATTTCATAAATAATTCTGCGGGAGAAGTCTTGTGGTTATATAAAACAAAGCAAAAACTAGTAATTTCTATAAGCTAACTCTCTCAAAGCTGACCTTCATTTTTCGTAAGCATACAATGTTAATCACACTCAAGTTTACTGTCAAGAGTTTCGGATACAAAATGAAGCTTTTCAAACAGTTTTATGAAAGCTCGGTGGTGTTTTCTTTTTTTTGTGTACTAAACGTTTATTTACGACCAATCGATTTGCTTAAACGCATATTATATTACGCTTGGCTTTTAGAACTGACTGGCCCCTTTACGTCCACTTATTTTGTTTTCATTAGCCTTTCTTTTTTTTTCTTACGAATATACCACAGAAAACAAACAAGAAAAGAAGCAGATAAGGCTTAGAGCCTTCAACCAATCTCATGGCGTCAAAGTTGTCGTATGAAAATTACGAGTTAAATGACTAAAGAAATCGGCGCATAAAAAGGGGACTGGGGCACACAAAGCTCCATTCATCCGATTCCAGGCCTCATCTGTTTCACCATCTTCCTCATCATATCCCTGTACAAGAAAATAAAACAGAAGGTGTGAAACATGACTGCTGAAACAAAGAAGGACGAGTACAAGGAAGTCGATCTTTTCGAAAGTCCAGTAATGAGAGAACGAGTTCAAAAATTAGGCCGATAACAGGAAAGATAGGAAATAAGATAAAGCAATTAATTGTTACCGAATCGCAGTAAGTTTCTCTTCCACCGACTCCCAAGGGCTGCGATCTTCACTGAATTCAAGAAGATCTACAAACAAACCAAGATCAAATTTAAGAACATAAAGAACCTTACAGCTGTTAAGGCACGAGAAAGATTATTCCTTTTCTATTATAACTGAGTATCAACTGAGCCGAAGGTCTTCTTCATCTCCCTTCGTTCAGAGAAGTACAAATAGGATACAAGACTAAAAAAAACTGTTTTTCCCGATTGCTACGCATAAAAATTATCGTGAAAGTAGTCCTGGTTAAATACTTCACGCAGACCTTGGGCGAGTTTCATTTCACTGATCCAGTCTCCCTCTTTGTAATACTTCACGCGCAGATTCTGCATAAAGAAAAGATGTAAAAGTAATTAAGTCTATGAGGCCACCCCTCAATTGCAGAAAAATACAAATATACCTAAGCCCCCTCCTACCCTAACGGTACGTTCTTCTCCTCACGCTCACAGTCACGTATGGCGCTAATGCACGCTGCCACTTAGCGTCAATCACGAACACCGGTGCACGCTTAATGATAAAATGCTACAATTCCATTAGCGAAGAATGTTCATTTACCAGAAAAGGAAATCTCTCCATGCGTGTGAGTTGTAGAATACGATCCACATCATATTCCAGACGGGCGACTTTCTTGGCCTGTGTGTAGGTCGTACTCATTTGTGCAATGAGAATGTTGAGTAGAATCACTATCACGATCCCCATGTAGGCCATCATTAACAGAATGGAGAGCCAGCTGCAAGGAATAAATCAAATGCTCTTACGTGGTTAGTTTCACCTATTATCTTAGTGGTAATAAACTCATCTTAAGTTAAAAAGATCTGAACAACTAAACGGAGTAAAAACATATTCGACCTTTTAGAGAAAAATCAACTCACTTGAAATTTGAATAATCGTAAGCAATTGGTCTTTGTTCAGAGAGCGCGCGAAAGCCACTCAGTAACACATCTCCGAAGTCACTAATGTAAAAAAAAATGGATTTAGCATGGACTGTAACACATAGACTGATCTGCAACACATTAACAGAAATTTCATATCACTTCAGGTGTTATCATATACATTTCATCCAACTAAAATTCGCAGATAGTGCAGAGTAAACATCAGCCAACCAAATAATTCGACACATTTATTCAGTAGCATTTAAGCAAGCAAGATTAAGACATACCTAAACTGTTGGTTTTCATCGGAGTAACAGAGCGATAAAGACAAAGCACCACAGAAGGAGAAGAAGATAACAATAAAAACCGCGATGGATCTTGTCACATCGTGCAAAATGATCTTAGCCAAGGTTTTTGTGTATAATCCGGTTGTCCTGAAAAAAAATATACACGGTTTTATTACATTAAGGACACATGTTATGTGATACATAATGATGTTCGAATTATACTAAATAAGAATATAACAGTTTTCAACAGTCTTCTAATAAAATTTCAGGGGGGGTCGACACGTTGCCATGCGTCGGCTCCATGTAAAGCATTTGGCTTTTTTAACAAAATTGCCCATCTTCTTTATTCTTTTAATTCCATTACTCCCGTCTGTCTCCTCTCCTTGGACGCTTTTTTTAATCTTTCTATTCTGTACCTTTTTTTCGTTGAGACGTTTTAAAAAATTTCCAAATTTCCACCATGAAGACGCCAAGACGGTGGGGCTGCACTAATTATAAATTAGGCTTGTTAACCAAAATCCAAACCTAAGCCAACTGTGTGAGTAAGTTTCACAGATATGATTTTCTTGTTCTAATTTGCTGACATTCTCTCAAACCTATCAAACGTAGCTTATGATGCAGTTTACCTTGTCAAGCAAGAAAACTTAAAGATCCTCAGGAAGTTGAACAAGAAAGCTAAAGATGCCACAAGCCACTGAGCTTTACTTTGTGTGTACCGTGAGGGTATAATACACAGGATCAGCAACAGGCCTGACCAGTCAAACAGGGTCATCCATTCTGTGAAGTACGACTTCCCCTCTCTAAGGGAAATAAGACAGATTCAAGGTTTGCAAAGAAAACTTTTCATTGAATTAATTCATTCTTATGTTTTTAACCTTATCATGACCTTACCATGACCTAACAATTCCATCACCTCTACTCAATCTGACAAAAGGCAAACGCTCAAAGTTGGTTGTGTAGTAATTAATTCCACCTCTAAACTACTACCAAGTCTTCCCTAATCTATATCAACCTACATGAACACTTGCAAATGGTAAAATGTCCTGAGCTTTGGCAAAAAATGGTGTCCTAACCTGATTTCACACTCACTAGAATTGCATACTTACAATCTCATTTGATTAATTTCTTCACATATGTAAAAGACCACCATAATAAGGGTGAAAATCTCACAAAAACCACGCAGTGAATCTGCTTCACCCCCATATTGAGTGGGGTCCACTGTTGTGGAAGCACTCAGCAGAGAATATGACAAACACAGCAAGAAGATCACATACAATGCTGCTTGAAGGCTGTGTAATAAAAAGCAACATTATTAGTTAGTATAAAAAAATTTTATCCTATAAATATACATTATAGTGCTTTCATTTGTGCTATATTTCAGCTCTTTCTAGTAACAGATCTTAAGGCCATATATGAGCATCTAGACAATTTTTTCTTTGGCAGATGGATTGGAATAGTCAAAAGACATTCTCCAAGTCTCTATTTCTTCTGTTCAATTCCACTTTAAACCCTCCCTTTGCTCCAATACAATTCTGACAGCTTGGGTCAACACAGTCATTTCTTTATCTTTTTTTTTTTTTTTCAATTAAATGATGGAATAATCTTAGGTAACACAATTTTTCCTCTGGGTTTACATGCACCTGAGAAAGAAGTGTCCATAACTTTTCCATTTTGCTTTAACCAGCATTCTGACCACAGGATGTTGGAGTGCCTCCTGAAAAATCATGAAACCAAAAAAGAAATGTTTAAGCAAGAATACGATTGTTATACTACTGCTGGTAAACATAAGTAATTTAGAAAGCATCTCAGCTAATGAGCCCAAAAATCTCAGTGTTGCTACAACCCCTTGATATATCAAGCTAGAGAGTCAAAATTTTGGATAACTCCTGCACACATTTCTCCAAACACAGGATAACCACACATAGAGTAATTACTATTTTTAAAAAACCTCAACCTTACCATATTCCTGCTCTTTGCAATGACATGTAAACAAGACTTGTCCCTCCAGTTGAAATATTTGTTTTCTGTCTGTGCATGTCCTCCTGGCATCATCACTTTTGGGGGCCGTCCTCCCTCATCACCGTCCAAAATATGATAATAAAAATGATAGTCCAAAGGATCATCTGTGATTGTTCGCCAGGCACCCTCAACTACCTCCTTCTCTTTTTCATTTTCATAGCTGTCTTTGTGTTTTGGAAGGTGTGGCCAGTGGGGATTCATCATCTGGTCTAGCACAGCTATTACTGTCTTCTGTGGAAATCACATTCAAATGGCAACTAGGAATTCCCTAAGGAAGTTACAAACTAAGTACATTTTCAAAATGTACAACAATACATACAGCTGTTACAATGTTGTCGTCCTAAATAATCTGCATGGCTTATATTTAAATAAATATATGGTAAATCAGGTTTAAGATCTGAAATAAATTGATGAGTATATTTTTGATGGCAACAAGTCTGCATGCAACACCTTGAAATTTATAAATACAAAATTTAAAATATTCACCCTCATGTTAGGATTCTCAATAATGGACTTGAAACTGAAGAAAGATGGCTGAGGATTTGTTACATTCACTTCAGTTCTCCAATAAAATAATCCCTGAACTCTAATCACAACAAAAAAAAATAATAACAAATGAAAATTTCATTGCCATTCACTACAATTTTAATACAACAAGTAGTGTAAGTTACAGTTATGGTTTGCACTCAACTAATTCCTCAAATAACTGACTGGCTTTCTAAAATTTATTGTCTTAATCTGAATACTTCTTAAATATTGTCTTCTTAAAAAAAATGTTTCCTAAAACCATCAGGGGTAAAAAATCAACATCAAAATTCCCTTTTGAGGTTAGGCTCACATAAGGGTATGTGTTGGACCCATAGGGTAAGTGAGCAAAAACTGTTACTTGGTAGGCAGGAAATCTGACTCATCATGGTTAATGATCAGATGGTGGTTACTTTTCAACCCCTCAAAAAATATTTCTTAATATTGACACTACTGTTGTAACTATTTCATTTAAGTTTCAGTTAGTATTATACCTTTTGTGCCACATACTTCTGACCAAGTATGCTGCCACTTCATCATTTTCTGCTAACAGAGCCAACTCAACTGATAACAAGGCTCTTTTCTTCTTGGCTTGTTTTGTCTTCAAAGTAAGAAGTACTGGGCATTTCTTCACAAGTGTCTTAGTGACATGTAAAAACCCAAGTTCTGCAGCATAATGCAGCAAAGTCTTCTTTGTTTTGACTGTTTCATCTCTGAAAGTCTGATATCTGTTTTTAAAGTTCAGTTCACTACCTAACATGATCTCCAAAAGGCGATTAATCTGTTAGAAGACACAAAAACAATATGCATGTGCATCACTTGTCTAAAAGCATTTTGCAGAATGTTTGTAACCCTTTTTCCCCTTGTGCATCAAGAAGTTTCCTAGAATTACCCTTGCTTATTAATGCTAAACAATTATATCTTTTTCACCAACTTTTTCACCAGATATTGCACCCTTACCTGTACATTTAATCCTTTACTATAAACTTAATTATAACCTATATACACATACCTTCTGTTCCAAGCCTGCAAGTTTTTCAGGGTTATCTTTGTACTTTTTACACTCTGGCCACTGTTTTAACAACAAAAGTGCTGGATCCTCGTTTTCCAGTTCCCCATTATCTCTGAATCTTTGAATCAGTCTCTCAACACTGACTGCATCCATGGCACTACTCCATGATAGTCCATTATTCTGCTTTTGGCGAACCTATCAACACAAATACTGCTGTTACAATATGAAAAGTAAGAATTTTTTCTTCTGAAGACCAATTACAGATAGCCCATTGTGTTCACACTAAGACAATATCAAGGCTCTTAATTAAATGGCGTTTGTTGTCACCATTGATAAAATTATTTTCGGAATAATGCACTTGGTATATAAACTCAATCCCACCCGTATTTGCATTGAGATATAAACACTTAAACCTGGAGTTCGAAGTGATCCAACACTTGAAAAAAAGAAAACTCGTCCGAACACATGAAATTTACCTAATTACCACTCAAACAGTTTTAGAACTCTAGTTGCGCAATAAAAACTGTTAAACAGCGAACCTTGAAGCCAAAACCCAAGAGATTAAGATAGAGGAGCAGTCAACTTAAATCCTGCCTTTAAAATCAAAAAGCGATTACTTGTTCGTTGTAGCTTGATGTAACCTTATATCGCAAAGAACCTCCTGCCCAATTTAAACATCAGACGAATGTGCCAATATTGTACCTGACAATAGGAACTGTTTTCCCGTAGATTTGAACTGATGAGGGGTTTTGCTATATTTAATAACTCCTTGATTAAACCTACTTTAATCCAGAAGTCTCCATCATATTCATTTTCCAAGACAACTTCTTGATCGTCAGGTTGATGATGGCCAATTTCACGCTGATTTTGTTGTTTGTTGTTATTGTCTTTTCCGTTGTGCTTCAACAGATCTTGCTCTTCTTTTGCCATTTATGAATCAAATATCACTAACTATATCCGACATGAATGTAAACACCATCGTCTTTTTCAAAATTTTCCAAAATGCCGTCCTTGCAGTGCCTCGCAGTTTTGACAGCCTCCGTATTCAAGCATGTTTGAGCAGGTGATAAGTTAATGCAGCGGTGAGGCGCATGGCATATGCAAACAGGTCCAGTTGCGCAGGCCATTTTTTAGCATTTCCCGCGCAAAGTTTAATATGGAAACACATAAGAAAAATGGTTTCTCGCGGTCAAAGTTTACGGGAAAAAGTAAATTTTTAACTGTTAACTTGTTCATATTCCTAGCTATTTTTGCGCTTTGGAAGGTGTGGCCAGTGAGGATTAATCATTTGAGTCAGTACAGCTCTTGCTGTTTCTTAGTGGAAATCTCACACATGCAGATATCAACTATAATTTCCCTATGAAATTTTGTATTAACTCTGCTGCATTGTGCTCTCCCTTGCCAATTGCATCCATGATAATGCAATGTTTTTAAAAAGCACCACAGGCGTCTCTTGCATGTTTTTATACCAAAGAGTTGTCAAAAAAGCAAGAAAATGTACTCTCTTTCTCTTAGGTCCATAACAACAAATGGTCGTAATTAAATGCAAGACTACACAGCGTATAAATTGTATTGTAAAGCGTGCTTGCGATTCCAGTGTGTAAAGCACGGTTCGTTTTAAGAAGTTTGCTGACAGAATATCCAATCACACGTGCATATCGATGATATGCACATTAAGTGACGAAAATTTTTTATGCCAGTTGCTCCGTTTTTACAAGCGTTTCACAAATTTAACACATATGCCAATGGTTTAGACAATAGTTGCTTGCTTTGATAGCTGATGGCCTCACCTTGGGTTTCTTACAAGAAGAGTGAAACAAACGAGCCTGTTACCCGACTTCACCAGCCGAGCGAACGTCAGTTGACGGTACTCTTTGGATTTCATGAAACAATTATTCACGAATTCAAGACATTTCAAAAATGAAATACGTTATGCTTTTGTATACTGATCGAGAAAGCAACAAAGCTGAGAAACTAAAGGATTATTTGCAGGGTAGGTTGCGAAACATGGCAGATTTACGAAGCATCGGTGAGATTTCAGCGGAGGAAGGGGATTTCAGGAGTGAACTTCGCAGCCGCGGGGACTGCATCGTTTTGGTTGGATCTCGCCATGCTTCGTACCTTATCAAAGGCAGGCAACAAGAGGCGGACGACGATTTCCTTACATTTGACGGGAAGGTTATACATGAAGAGTTCACAGGAAACAAAGAATTTATTGAAAAACTGATAATTGTTTACTTGACGACGGAAAGAGCCAATGATGATTGGATCCCAGATGGTCTTGATGAAAACAGAATCTTCAATCTGCAAAGCGAAAAAATTGTGGAAAGTCCTTTGCTGTATCAGGTTGAGTATTCTATAAGGAAAATCTTGCTTGGAGATTCCTTTATGATGTAGAAAATTTGCCGTTCTGCAATTTACGAAAAGGCTGAAAATCGTTTCACAAGAACTTCAATTTCCAGCTTATTGAACGGTACATCGCAATTTTTGTGCTGATGAGAAGTTTTGCCTCGGTGTTTAAAATAATTACCATAAAAGGTACAATCAGAAAGAGGTTCAGTCGAAACGCATTCTATTGTTCTTTTCGAGTTCAACAGTAGGTAATTGTTACAATAAATTCTATGATGTGTGTAATCTATTTCATAGGATGGAACGGAAAGCTAACGGATCTACAATCAAACTACGGATTACACTTTAGATTTTCGATAATGATATTAGTGTGAATGGATAAGGCATAAAATTGAGAAATTTACTGATCAACTTTACATGTTTGAAATCAATTTATGATTACAAAAGTACCGCTTGATTCACAAAGTTGTGAGAAAAATAAAGCGTTACTGTCATAAACTTGCCCATGAAATAAAACCAAGAAAAAAGTGTTAATTGCTTAAATATGTTATGGAGAAGACAATAGTTAGTGACATAGTCATGCAATATTTCCTACCAGGGCTTAGTGAGACCTTTACCAAGCTCGAGAAATGTTGGGGTTTTCTGAGTTCGGAGCGCACGTCTGGTTGCAGATACACAGAACTGTAAAAGAGAAGCTACTGATTGAGAAATCCACGTGGGAGCAATTGCGACACAACTTGGAAGGCGGACTTCGGTATTTTTAATACCTTTATCCCCTGGCTTAACTTTTATCTGTCAACTTTTGCATTTTCCCCTTGAATCGAGCTGTTTTCGTTGGATCCGTTGTTTTCTCACATGTTCGCGCTCCTTTTTTTTTTAATTTTGATCTGCTGCCTCTCCCTTGATCAAACCCGTTTTCCCTTTTTTTTTTCTTTGATTTTCGGCAGCATAGTTTGTTCTCAATGACTGTTTTTAACATGAAAACCCTGAATGCAACTTGTTAGCAATCTGACGTAATCCTCACCACTCTATCTTTCCCCATCAGAAGCTATCAGAGTTAACGTCCATCATCGTCGCATAAAAACCACAACTGATGACAATGGCCAAAAAAAGTGGCACGGAATATGTTCTTAGCTATCAATGTTATGTACACAGACACTATTTTAACCTTGTGAAGGCCTCATCTGTTTAACCATCTTTCTCATCCTATCCCTAGAGAAAGAAACATGGCTGGAAAACTGAACAGAAAAATTTCTTTCTTGAATGTTACAAAGTCTAATGTCTCAGAATTCGTTGCTTTTGCTCAAGTTTGCTAGTGACAGTAAAACAAACGTCGCACTTTCCTCTCAACCAACTTAATTAGATTCTGAACTGAAACCAATCGTGACTCAGGCACCCATATTTTCCTGTTGCCACGAGTCCTTCCATACTATTCTTTGGTATGTCACGCAATACTCCACCCAAAAGAGACTTCAGTAAAGTACGTTGCGTGACAACGCGTGATATAGCAGGTTGCTTGTTCTACCTAAGTTCTTTTTTGCCCTTTATGCAATTTTCCTTTGTTCTAATTGTTACTGAGATAATTTTTCTTTTGATCTCAGGACTCTCGATCGAATTGTGCTCTATGCGAGTTTGACTGGCCAAAGAATAAGCTCGTAGCGAGAAAGGGAAGCATTCAAGGAATTCTCATCCCACAACCCCCTAAAGAGCTCTTTCCGTAATGGTTGAACTCGCTATCATCCCGGTTGAATTTATCCAGGTTCTATTAAATGGATGCCACACTCTTGAATAAAATGAAATTAAAGAACTCTTTGTACAAAATGAATCGTAGTTAACTCTCGCATCTCGAAGATATTTATGTGAAAGAATCATTTTGGTTGCATAAAACAAAGCAAAAACTAATACTTCGTACAACCTGACTTAATCTTCATTTTTCGTAGGCATGTAATGTTAATCACACTCAAATTTACTTTGAAGAGTGTCGTTTACAAAGTGAAGCTTTTTTAAACAGTTTTACGAAAGCTCGATGGTGTTTTTCCTTTTGTTGTTTCCTTAGCCTTTATTGACAACCAATGCAATAGATTGGCTCAAACGTACTTTATACTGCGCTTGACTTTTACATCTGATCAGTCCATAACCTTTGACCAATCGTATGACGTCAACGTTGTCGAGTTACATGACAAAAGAAATTGGCGCATAAAAGAAAGAGACTGGGGAATATTCCCACTATAGTCACGTGTGCACTCAGAGCTCCATTCATCCGCTTCTAGGCCTCATCTGTTTCACCATCTTCCTCATCATATCCCTGTACAAAAATTACAATAAAAGATGTGAAACCTGACTGCTGAAACAGAAGAGGATAAGCGCAGGTTAATATGTCTTTTCGAAATTCCATCTGTTGACAATGAGAGAACGAGTTGATTAATAGAGTTGATACCAGGAAAGAGAGGGAAAATGATTAGGAATGATTGTTACCTGATCGCATTGAGTTTCTCTTCAACAGAGTCCCAGGGACTGCGATCTTCACTAAATTCAAGAAGCTCTATAAACAAATCCAATATCACATCTATAAACATTAAGAACCTAAAGCTGTTAAGGCATAAGATTGCAAATTATGCCAGTTTTCCCTTTTTAACTGAGTAAAAGCTTACACCTTCTTCAACTCCTCTTCTTCAAAGTTGTAGAAATAAGAAACTAGATTTAGAAAAAAAACCTGTTTTCTTAGATTTCTGCAGATAACAATTCAGGTGGAAGAAGTGTCAGTCAAATATTTCACTACAGACCTTGTGCGAGTTTCATCTCACTAATCCAGTCTCCATCTTTGTAATACCTCACGCGCAAATTCTGCATAAACGAAAGTTGTAAAGATTCATTAAAAACACTCATGGAGAACATTCCTCAATTTCAGAGGAAAGCAAGTATTTATTGGCCCCTCACTCCCTTGCCTGTTCTTTCTTATCTTCACACTCACTAGAAGCACGTGTGCACGCTGCCACTTAGCGTTAATCACGATGGTATACGCTGAACAATGTAATGTTGCAATTTCATCATGGAAGAATGCCTACTAACCAACAAAGGAAATCTCTCCATGCGAGTGAGCTGTAAAATACGATCCACATCATATTCCAGACGAGCGACTTTCTTAGCCTGTGTGTAGGTTGTACTCATTTGTGCAATGAGAATGTTGAGGAGAATCACAGTCACTGTTCCCATGTAAGACATCATCAACAGAATCGACAGCCAGCTACAAGGAGAAAAATTAACGAAGTTTGGAGACGAAAGTGACCCACCAAGTTATAGAGCCACATTAATGTGGAGGAGCAAAACACTTGTCTTTTGTTGGGGAAAACACTTTCTTATAGAAGTATCGTAGAGGAGATGTGTTGAAGAGAATAAAGTAGCTCCTTCCCTACTCACTTGAGATTTGTGTAATCTCCTTCAATTGGTAGCTGCTCAGAGAGTGCACGAAAACCGCTCAGCATGACATCTCCAAAGTCTCTAAAGATAAAAGTGAAATATTATTAGCTAAACTCGCACAGTCCCTGAGTTCTCCTTGATGAACAGCTACGTTAATTCAGAAAACGTTTTCCTACGTTCAAAGCTTTAACTGCTTTCTTACTGTAAGGTTTCGCTTGAACGATTATCAATACAAGTTAGTAACTTCACACATGGATATTTGAATAAGTTCTTCTATGAATTAACTAGCGGCAAATCGTTAATGGTTGAATTATGGTCAGACATATCATACTCTCAGTTCTATATTATTGTCATTCAAAATTTATTATTTAATTCTCAATTGTTAGGGTTACAAGAAGGTAACATTGTAACAATATTGCGTGACACTGTCACGACATCGTGGTCCGCTGACGACATCTGTCTTCTTATATTAAATATATCTTGTTGGTCCGACATCTTGGTTTTGTGTGTGTTCTCCTCTACATTGCCCGATCTGGCTTGTTACAAACATAATCTTATACATGTAGCTGTATCGAAAAGAGAGAATAAGAAGACACACCTAGACTGTTGGTCTTGATCAGAGTAACAAAATGACAGCGACAAGGCACCACAGAAGGAGAGGAAGACTAGTACAGTGAAAACTGCCATTGATCTTGTCACATCGTGCAAAATGATCTTAGCCAACGTTTGCGTGTACAATCCTGTGGTCCTGAAGTAGTTCAATAATTCGGTTTATTCAAAGATTTCAAAGGAAAAATGTAAAGGGTAAAAAGGTAACGTAGTAACGAATACGAAGTGCTTAAGGTAAATCTAAATTTCTCATTAAAATAGAACTATGTAGCTTTGTTCTCTAATTACCTTGTAATACAGGAAAACTTAAAAATCCTCAAAAAGTTGAATAAGAAAGATAAGGATGCCACCAACCACTGCACTTTGTTATCAGTGTACCGTAAAGGTATTATGCACAAGATCAACACCAGGCCAAACCAGTCAAACAGATTCATCCACTCTGTGAAATATGACAGCCTCTCTCTGGAAGAATTTAAACAAAATTTGAAAAATTCACAACCCATCAGCCACGATTCTGTGAATTTCTGTGGATTTTCAATTCATGGACTTAAATTGCTTCTGTTAACGGCTATTTGAAAATTAGGTGAATGCATCTCTCTATAGGGCACCGCAAAAGTGGAATCAAATCATCGTCATCATCATAATTTATTTGCCTTTTAAACAACACACACAAAAAAAAATTTTTACGGCATTATAATTTATAGAGGGCGAGGAGACCTAGGAATGGCATGGCCAAATTGTAGACAGTCTAGTTTTCCTTAGTGAAACAGAACACCCTAAACATAAATAGTTTAGCCAAATGAGAAACGGTCTAGTAGCCCATGTTGAGTTGGAACATGAGATTGTGAAATGGACTAGCTCAACTACGAATAGCTTAGCACTCATTTGCAATACAGTACTCAAACGGTGTAGCGTTGCGTTAAACGGCTCAGGGTAACGTCGAGTAGCACAGCCTACGCACAAACGGTGTAACGTTGCGTCAAATGGCTCAGCGTAATGTAGAATGGTACAGCGTACACACATATGGTGTAGCGCTGCGGGAAATGGCTCAGCGTAATGTCGAATGGTACAGCGTACATAAAAACAGTGTAACGTTGTGTGAAATGGCTCAGGGTAATGTCGAATGGTACAGCGTACATACAAACAGTGTAGCGTTGCGTGAAATGGCTTAGCGTAATGTCGAATGGTGCAGCGTACATACAAACAGTGTAGCGTTGCGTGAAGTGGCTTAGCATAATGTCGAATGGTACAGCGTACACACAAATGGTGTAGCGTTGCGTGAAATGGCTCAGCGTAATGTAGAATGGTACAGCGTAGACACAAATAGTGTAGCGTTAGGTCGAATAGCTTTGCAAAACATCAGACGCTCTATCTGAACATTAAATTGCTTAGTATTACTTGAAATATTTCGATGTTGTGGCGAATCGTCGTGGCGTGACGTGAAGGCCATGCCACTCCTGTATTAGCTATGCTATCCTGCAACTGATCCTTAAGCCATCTTTGTATTTGCTGATCTATACGACATCCTTGTATTTTTGGTGGTGACGGCCGCCAAGGCATCTCGCCGAAACCACCAAAAGTACAAACCGCAAATGGAACAGCGATCTGCTGGGGGCATGACGTCATCGAATGTGAAGACTGACACGAAATCATTACATGGCGTAGCCGCTGTATGGAATAGTCTTCACTTCGCTTTGCCATAAAGCAGAGCCAATTCGGTAAGTTTCTCCTCTTTTTTTCCCCGCCGATATTGCATTTATTCGTTTTCGTTCATGATAGTGTTAATTAAAATAGCGAGACTGGATTCTACCACGGTTTACCACAGTTTGCACGCGTTGGTGGGCCTGAATATGTTTATTGTATTAAGTAGTGTTATGACGTGAATTAAATGTCAATTGTCGAACTCCCTTTTCTTTCTGTGACTCACGCTTACTTTTCAATGAGAGTCCAACTTCAACGGCTCTTTGAACACTGGAGGAGTACGTGAGAAGTTGAATATTGTGTGTACCCTGGACGCCATGTTAAGTAAACTGATATCCTTGATCTGTTTTGACATTTTTCGATCAAAGTGATATCGGAATGCTTTAATTGGTGTGCCGGACGATAAGAGTAAGCTCATAGAAGACTGTTTATATTTATTATTTTTACTTATAATTACTTATCTTCCCTGTGCTCTTTCCCATTCCGTAGTCATCACGTATTAAGGAAGGCTAGTGCGGACATCGTAATGCACGTAGTTGTACGTAATTGTACAACTCTAGGTCGAATTTTACCGTTCGATCTGTTAAAGTCGCAACTTGCTGAATAAAAACTATTGTATAATTCAGACAATTGACAGGAAATCTTGCTGTTTCGTCGTTTGTTTCGGTAGACGTATTTATTTATATTTTTATTTATTTTTACATTTCTGTACCTCAACTATTAATTTTTGTGATTATTATTATTATTATTTTTATTATTATTATTATTGCTACAGACTGAGTTCAATACACACTAGATATATTGACTAGAGTTGCGTGACTTGTAACGTTTCTCTTCTTGCCTTTAGGGCTAAGCAAAGAAAACTTCCAGATGATGAAAAAGCAAAGAAAAAAAAAATTAGTGCTTGCTTTATAAGTGGCTCGTCTCCATCTTAAGAATTTTTTTCTTCACAGGTATCGTTGTTTGTTGTCCTTCAGTACTGTTAAGAGTCATGGACTTTCGTCAGCATTTATCAGATTCCCTAAATGAAATAACTGAATATATACAAGAAGGCGGAAATCGTGGAGGTGATTCAGAGAATACTGTTTTAAGACTGGAGGTTCTTTACGAGGCAGCGTTGATCAATGGGGACATTCCTTTAGATGCGGTTGACTTAATCAATCAAGCTCGTACACACCTGAACGTAAACTTGCATCAACAAGAGCCTTTTCGTGGGTATGAAGCACCAGCAGTGAGTGAGGCAGGTCGCCGAGGAAGACCTAAGTTTGCGATTTCCGAGAAGCAGCTGCTTTTTTTCAGAGGTAAGGAGGAAAAAGTGCTTTTACCATTTTCAGGTTGAAAATTTGAAATGAAAATAAGGTAGACACATTTGAAACTATCCATATATGCCCCATATGAAGTGAGTGCTTTTTTTTTTGGAGTTGATAGGTTTCGCCAAACCACGTTTTTTGGTTATTCATAACATCTTTAGTGACTTCACCTTTTGAAGGTTTCATTCAATTTTCAGTGTAAACTATCTACTCTCAAAGGACTGTGTTTTCTTCTATGAACACTCGTTATCTTTTTGTTAGAGAACAACTTCACGTATAAAGACATGGCTCTAATGCTTGGGGTTAGCAAGCGAACTATTGAAAACCGTATGGCCGAGTACGAGTTGACGAACAAGTCCCGCTACAGTGACATAGAGGACGATTTCCTGGATTCTTTAATCCAGCGTATCATGACAAATTTCCCTAGATCGGGTAAGTAAGTCTTCATAAAAATTTTGAGGCTGTGGCCGGTCATGTTCAGTCAAAAAATAAAGATTTTTTTGCCCTTAGCTTGGTAAAAATAGTTTGAGAACCAGTACATAATGACGCAACAATTTATTCCTCTGGAACTAGACATGATAAACATCTGAATCGGGAAATTTTCTCGTTTGCCTTTATTTCTTTCAGATTGCATAAATTAATTAAACCTTTTCGGCCGATACGCGTTATTGCTTGAACACCTCAAGAAACGTAGACATTATCACACTTAGCAAACGCAAACATGCTTCTTTTAGTATAGACGTACACTCGAGACCGTTTCTGAAAATCCCGTATGCTGTTCTCTTCCAGTATATTGATTCAAAACGTAATCAACTTACAGGCAAGAGCTTTTAAGCCCGCCGTAGTGTTTACACAAAATTTTGCATATCAGAAACACACTTTGTATCCTCTAAACAGAGAATTCAAGAAAGCACGACAAGTGGCATTAACTTCACTACTGTGTCACAGGGTGCTTGAAATTAAAACCCTTATTTCTGTTGACAGGTTACAAAACAATCGAGGGTTACCTTGTTTCGCAAGGTGTACATGTGCAGAGGTGGAGACTAAGGAGTGCCATAAAGAGAGTCGATCCCATTGGCAGGAGGCTAAGGTCTATGAATGCCATCCGTAGACGAGTGTATAACGAGGATAGGATAGATAGTGGATAGATAGTTTAATCTCAAATGCATTTGCAGCCCGAGGGCTGAATTACACATTTTTACAATCCAAGAAATTTAAAATTTAAAATTCAAAAACCTAATTACACGTCTTATTATACCAGCAATTTACAATATAATAACATAATAGTAAATTAAATAAAATACATTAGCTATAAATGTAAACTAATTAAAATAAATTTAAATTAATTAAAAGTATCTACATTATCATTATCATTATTATTACTATAATTATCACGCGTGCCGTAACAAAAATAAAGGATATCGTATCGATAAAAATCTAGCCATTAAACCTTCTTGCCATAGCAAATATAAAAGTGTTCATCGTTCTCGAAGTGCGAAGGCGTGGCATATTAAATTGGCGCTTATTTTTGAAGTTATAGCTGGGTTTATGTATGGGTGGAAGAAGCTTTAACTTGTGGCTAGGGTTGTCTAAGATACCAAAAAGCTTCTGACATAGAAATTCGTAATGTTCTAAGATGGGTCGTATTCCTAAATCTTGAGCAACCGCGCAATCACCCGCAGTTATAATGGAAATTGACCGTTTCTCAATACGTAAAAGCTCATTCTTCAGATATTGCGGAAGCGCATTATAGAAGACAGGTATCGTGTACTCTGTTACAGATCTTACACATGATGTGTAGAAAAGTACTAGGTCTTGTAAGGGAACCCTAGCTCTCTTTAGTTGCACTAAAAAATACAACCTCTTACTGGCCTTTTTGATTACTTCTGATATATGACTGTTCCAGGTCAAGTCGCTAGCTATATTAAGGCCCAGGAGCTTTACGCTACCAACTACCTCCAACTCTTTGCCTTCAATTACTATGGGATCAAAGAACCCGGGCCTTTTAGAAAATGAGATCCGAAGCTCTTTGCACTTATCAGAATTCAAGTGAACTCTATTTTCTCGTGACCACTCAATAACACAATCTGCTATATTTTGGGCGTGACTTTCACTCTCTTTTGGTATCATCTCCGAGGCTGTTGTATCATCAACGTATTTCCATAGTGGATACGCGATTTCAAGGTCATTTATCATAAGCACAAATAACCATGGGCCCAATTTTGTGCCCTGTGGTACTCCGGAGGGCACAGATCCCCACTCCGAAAAGCACTCCGCAGCCAGCTTAATTCTTTGTGATCTATCAGAAAGAAAGTCAACTATCCAATTGGTAATACTAACTGGCAATTTACACTTAGTACGCAGTTTTCTAATCAGAATTTCATGGTCGATAAAATCAAAGGCCTTTCGATAATCAAATACGATTGTTCTTATAGTAGCGCCATTTCCATCAGTGTTAATTGACCAATTATGTAACATGCTAATTAAGGCCATAGTCGTGGAAGAGTTTGGTATTGCCCCGTATTGGCTGTCGTCAATGATACTCATAACTGCTGGTTTGACGTAGTCGTCCACAATAAACCCTTCTGCGACCTTAGAAATGCATGGAGTAAGCGAGATAGGTCTTAGGTCCTTTTTCAGTTCCTTTACTGATTTCTTTTTGGGCAGGGGTGTCACGTCAGCCAACTTCCACATTTTTGGTAAATGCTGCTCGGAGTAGGAGGCATTAAGGATTTCTGTCACTGGGAAAGCCACTGCATCTGAATATTCCTTCAGTAGCCAATTGGGAATTCTATCAGGCCCACACGCTTTCCCAGGGTTAAGGTGAGACAGAACCTTCTGAACACGTTGTTCACCCACGTGCAGGATCTCTGGTGTTGTATTCGCCTCCATGGGGAGAAACTCTAGTGGAGTTGGCAGTCTGTACTCCTCCAGCGGTTCTAAAAACGCGGCATTGATGGTGTTGGCCTTTTCTATTAATGACAATTCTGAAAAACCTTCCACGTCAATCTGGCTCAGAAGGTCGCCATTTTTCCTTTTTGAGCCGCTCAGACGCTTTACTTCGTCCCACCATTTCTTTGGGGCTTCTTGTCTTAAATTCTGAATTCTCACTTCATAATATTTAGCTCTGCATGCCTTTCTTTCCCGGTTAACCAGATTTCGGAAGAACTTGAATTGGGCAGAGTCGCCGCCATATGATTTGAACGCTTTTTGTCTTTTCAGAATCATTGACTTCAGCTTATGGTCAATCCAAGGAGCGTCCGCACTACAGGTGCGAATTTCTTTCTCAGGCATCAGAATATCAAGCCCTGTATGTACAGCAGTGTGGAAAATCTCCCACTTTTCCTGGCAACTATCCGTAGGAGCGAACAATAAAGGCCAATCAATAGAGGTTAGATATCTCCCCAAGGCAGCCTTGTTACTCTCACGTAAGTCACGCCTTTTAACAACGTGCTTTCTGTTTACATCACGTTTACCATCTTTTGGCGACACAACAACAGCGTTGTGATCCGACAACCCGAATGGAGGGTAGGCTTGTGGCGGATTATAGTATTCTTGCATGTTAGTGAGCACCAAGTCTAATATGGCATCCTTCCGGGTCTGAACTTGAACTATTTGCTGGAGACGAAAGTGATTCAGCAAGCCCTTAATATCCAAGCGGTTGAAATCCCCTGTGACGACCAATCCACAGTTGGGATATCGCGTCTCCGCTAGGACGAGGGACTGGAACAAATGCTCCCGGATAGATGTCCCATCGGCCTTGGGGGGGTGATAGATCACTGCCGCGATTATGCAGGAAAACCCCCGGGGGAGGCGGTTTGGTCTTAGATGGAGCCACAATGTCTCATGATTATCACAGCACTTTAAATCGTTCAGTTGTTTATATTTGCACCGTTTTTCTTGAATATAGACACACACACCACCGTGTTCTAGTGTCTTCCTGTCCTCACGCACAATAGCAAACCCGGGGATGTCAACAACGGTGTCCAACACAGAGTCCTTTAGCCAGGTTTCCGTAACGAACGCAAGGTTGATATGATTACGAGTGATAAACTCGCTAACTTCATCCATTTTGGGGGCTAAAGACATGACATTCGCTAACATGATCTTAGGAACTTTGGGTGACCATTCAGTACTGGCTGCTCTGTTTTCCTTGGTGCAATCTATAACAATGCAGTTGTTTAGATTGCTACGTGGAAAGGTGTCATTTTGAATATTTAATATGTTCGCCAGTTGGTTATGTAAATGAGGTTTCCTGTGAAGGATTAAGTTCTTGGCAAAGAAACACCCATTAAAGTTCGGAAATTGCTGAATCTTGCGTGCTCCATTCCCCATGCAAATCCCAATCTGCCTTTGTTTGCGCTGTCCTGCTCTTGTCCCTCGACGTGTAGGTCTTTGCCGTGTTATTCCCAGATCAGATATGTTGCGCCATAACTCACAACCGAGCGACTTCTTCGTCGTTGGAGATAAAATGGCATTCAGTGCCGCTCTTGAATAAAATATCGCCATGTAACTAGAGGCCAATATTCTAAAAATCTACTTGTGATTAAAATAGTGCTCTTTGTCGTTTCGAGGAAGTTATTTTGAAGAAAGTTCGCTTAGAATCACGGAGCAGGAAAAAACGCGTGCTGCCTGTCAGGCGCTACGTCATTGTATATGGTCTAATGGAACTGTTTGACTGACGTACGTACGTTCCCCACTGGCCCTCTGGCATATGGACGGGAATCACAAACTGATACGGTAGCTGTCACTTATCTCACTATTTTGATGACATAATTGTTGCTGTAATTCAGGTCTCAATAACTTTGCACCATTTGTTTTAGGAGTAACCTCCCCCCCCTCCCCCCTTCATATACTTTCGGTTTACCACTCTATTCCTTCTCTTCTTAGATGGCGATTCGTGGTTCACGGCTGCATTGACGGTTACAGTCGCTCCGTCGTTTATCTTAAGTGCGATACGAATAACACGTCTGTCACAGTCTTGCGTCTCTTTGAGGGTGCGGTGTCTGAATGGGGATTGCCATCACGAGTCAGGGGCGACATGGGAGTTGAAAACAGAGACGTGGCACACTACATGTTGAACCATACAGCAAGAGGGCCCGGAAGAGGGAGTTACATCACCGGACGAAGCGCGCACAACTCGCGTATAGAAAGACTCTGGCGCGATGTGTACCAGTTAGTCCTATCCTCATTTTACGACCTTTTCCTTTCTCTCGAAGCATGCGGTCAGCTCGATCCGGACAACGAAGGGCATCTATTTTGCCTTCACTTCACTTATCTCCCAATAATCAACGAGGCCCTTTCAAAATTTGTGCTATCCTGGAATAATCACAAAATACGTACTGCAGGAAACAAAAGTCCTTTACAACTGTTCATACTAGGGATGCAAGAAATTGCGGAAGAAAGTGGTATTGTGGCATCAGAATACTTTCAAAACCTAGTCAGGTAAACGCAATAATGCATATGACAGACACAGTTCCCCAAGCATTAAAGCCACACGGGTGAACAATCTCAAGTGGCCTCTACTAAATATTGAGTTTTAATTAACCACCCCTTCAATTTAAATATAGATCACGATCGAAACGATGCCAAGATTCCTTGCTTGCAAAGTTAATTTAAGGCAGTCATAACCAATGCTTTGCGGTATTTGAATCTCCTTTCAACTATATTTCAGAGGGACTTGGAAGGATACGGTGTGGATCCTACGGCTTACTTTCATGACGGCACAGATGATGCACTACAGAATGAGGTTGTCGTCCCACCGACACGGTGTCCGTTAGATGTTGAGTCGTTTACGATTTTTGAGGCAAGCATGTCAGAAGTCCAAGGCGAAGATCCATGGGACATTACACCATATCTGCATGCACTGGAAACGATGAATCGTCTGAAAACCTAATCTAACCTAGGTTTTAACATTTTGTATAATGCACCAGTGTACGCCACTTACGTTAAAGTATCTTCCCCCCATCCTACCATCTTACTTTTCTATTTCGTTGGACAATGTGTTGTTTTTTGTTTATTTCGGTTACACCGGGAAAATGAGTACACTTGGCATCATAATGTATCCTATCGTAATCTGCGATTTCATGTCAGCTTGCGATAACCCAACCTAAGCTGAGTGGAACTGGTGCTGAAATAGTGAGAGGTTGTAACGTCTGACTATGAATAGACAGCACACAGATAACATAAATGATAACATTTTATTACCAAAATGTATCGATTGGGACGTTTAAACAGTATAGTAAGTGAAAACGTAACGGCTTTAAAAAATTGCGCAATAAACGTCCTTCGCTTTACTTTTGTTTGGATGAGTATTTGGCAACATTAACACATAAACTTTGTTCTTTTCAATGTATTTTCATTTCGTTCATCTCAGGCCCATTTCCACGCTATTAAAATCTTCATCATAATCAGAATTCAATAAAGGGCAAACACAAACATATACACAATATTGCTTGTATGAGTTGCACCAACTGACCCTTTGGTGTACAGCCTAAACTAGCGCTCTTTTTTTAACTAGACTTTTAAAGCTTGTGTAATGAATACGAATTTTCGCCTCAACAATGCTGCTGTAAACTAAATTCAACTTATAAATTAAAAAACACCTTGTCAAAGAGAATCAATCAGAAATCAGTAGTTTCACTTAGAGAAGGCCAAAGTAATCATTTTCGAAAGCGTAGTCAAAGAAAGAGAACACTTCTTCCTTGGTCATTGATACATTCTCACCTATCGGCAAAGTCAGCCTGCTAATACAAGTGTTGCCAATAGGAAGGCAAGATGGCATATTCGTATCAAAACAAATAGAGGGCTTCATTTGGAAACCCAGAACAGGCTCGTTCTCGCATCCAGTGACGAACTTTAAAATGCTATGGAGAGATATATTGCCATCTACCCTTCTTCCAGCTAAAAAGAGAAAAAACAAAAATTAGTAATGCACTCATAAAGCTCTGAATCCCAGTTCTTTTTTACGCGCTCTGTGGAAAATTTCGATTGGCATAAAGCAAAGTTACAACTGTCTAGCCAGCGGTGATGTTTCTTAGACTAGAGAAAAGAGAACGACAGTTACCTGACACCTCTTTCAAGTAATTCAGGAAGAGTCTGTATGTTCGCTCTTCCCGCTGCCTTCGATTGCTGGCCTCGTCGGAAAAAATAGGGTCCAGCAGTTTCACCAGTTTGGGGTATGTCATAGGCAGCACTGCTGTCTTTCGGAAGAGGAATGAAAGACTCGGTTTCCCATGAAGGAGCTAACAGATTAAGAGAAAAGCAAGATTCATTTTCTCGGAAAGTATTGAATCTATGTAAAATTGTTAGAGATCAAGGGAATACAAATCTCTTGTGTGAGTAAGAGAGGATCAAAGGGAAGAGAGGGCATCCTACATACAGTCCCTAATCTTCTCCAGCCATTTTTAGACCTGCTCCCAGACTGCAGAGATCCAAAGGGGATTAAACAACTGCCTATCACATGTAAAAGAAATGTGTAGGGTTTTTTCGTCGGAAGCGCTTGAAGAGAAACTGTCCGTATTTAGCGAGAGTCGGTAAAGGGTGAAGACTAGACCATCAGTTACAACCGGTCACTGTGAAATCTTACCTCAACGAGTCCGAATCTCTCGAGTCCTACCCGAAATTGGGTTTCTGCTTCCCCCAGATTAGTCAATCATCTTTTTTGAAGATTCGCTGAAGCTGGTCTTCAGCAAGGAAAGTAGGCAAAGGACCACCTTGCAACAAACTGAAACCTGCAATAAAAAGGTAAATTGAAATTCTTGTGTGCTCAAGTGAAATTGACATAGGTGTCTCAGTAGGCTTTGCATATTTACCAAAAAAGAGGCCAGCTCCATAATAATGTTTCCTATCTAGTGCTTCTTTTTTCTCAAAAATGACGTAGCCTCCTCCTTCTTCCTTGAAGAGCTTGTCACGTATATCGCGCATCACCATGCCCAAAAATTCCCGCCTTGGACCACCATAGTCTTGAGCGCCCTCACCGGTGAAGATCACTTCTAAAGGTAAACTGAAATCAATCGCTGGCGGATCATCCCTCAATATCTCTTCCACACAGTTCAGAGTAATTTTGAAGGTCAAGCATTCGCCCTCGCTGTAACCTTCGCCTGAACTCCCCTAAGACTGTAACAGGCTCGTCACAAGTAGCCCTGAAATAAATTTGAAATGATCAAAGATGCGTAACGCCCGTGAACTTTGAATGTAAAAAGTAAAGTATGCCGGTAACACCTGTATTAAATCGGTCTACTAACGAGCAGTCGGCCCGATTGTATTTAGCTTGTTACACTAATAGTTGAGTGCCAAAGTCAAAGTAGTAAAATCAACCAACGGATATCTGCACATAAAGGGTTGTGCTTAGAGATAATTTCCTCTCCTCTGATTGGTCGATGTATTAACTTTGGCTTTGGTTTCAAGACACGCAATCGAATTGCACTATTAGGAATTCTATTACTTTCTATCTATGCGAACGACCGAGAAAATGGCTCTAACCAATTGTAAATAGCCCGTTCCCCATCTCTCTGGTTAAAAAAGCACAGGACATAATATTCGTGTTTTCGTGTCTCAAGCGAAATTATTAGTTACTTCTTAGATGTTTCCCTTAACATATAAACGGGCTTAAATCCTAATATACCAATTTCATTTCATTTTTATTACTGAGACTCATTATATTTTTATTTGCTTGCTCTTTTTGTTACGTACACGTTCAAACGCAAATAATTTAGTGTTTAAACCAATAAAAGGTGAGTTTGATTCAAAGGTTTTGCGCATCCTCAATGCACATATTTATAGTGCAAAATCGTCGCAGTGAACGGCTTTCAACTTGTAAAGCGCTTAACTCCAAGTGGCACCATGAGTGTTCATGTCAATCAGGAGAATCTCGGGCGTATTCATCGATTCCCCCGCACGAAAATTGGAATGGTTTTAATCTAATCTAAAATTTCTTTGCTAATGGGGAGTCTACATTTCTATCAGTCTGTTCTAAACAGCGAAAGATTAGTCTTTAAACGCAGCTAAATAATTTCCGCCTGAGTGCAACACCAAATCAACACGCCGCTAGTTGTATGTTAGTGAATATTTTATAATAGTGGTGTCTACGATAGTGCGTGACAGTCTGTCACTCCATTAAGCAAGAAACAATAAAGTTCCGCAAAGAAACTTGTGAAAAACAAAAGTAAATGCGAGTTGAAAAGAGTTTCGTAAAATAAATACCTGCTTTAGAATGTCTGTTTTTAAGGAGTGCGTGACTCGATATCGAGACCACGTGAGAACTCGTAGGAATGGAGATGCTTCGTGACAAAAGTCACGCATTGAGACCCTCATGCTGCTTTTTTCTGTTTTTAACCCCATTTGTCGAGAGCATATATATTAAATGTAATTCAGGCTAAGTTAAGTTGATGGCTACTACTACCTGTTGTAGTCATCTTTTTATATGATAGCGTTAAGACAGAAATTTAGTAACAAACATTTCTTCACATCTTTAGTGGCTATGGAGAGGATTTCAACTGAAGTTCCAATTCGTGGACGTTGAAACAGCTGACAAAGAAATTAATCAGGATGTTAATGAAGACTACTTACGAGGTTCGCTTTAAGCCGAAGTTCAGTTACTTTACTACAAGAACATGCACTGTGTATTCCGGCTGTATGTAGATCGTAGCAGAGGCACAGCTGCATGTATGATCACCCCGTGGGGTGTGCTTCCTAGTTATAGGTCACGATCACGACCGAACTGACTATCGACTATAGCATTTTCAACAGAGTTGATTACAATAATGGGGTCGCACATTTTCGAAATTTGGGGGTAAGACAAGTCTAAGAAAGTAGGCCGATTAAATGACGGAAAGTTCGCAGTTAGAAGGTCGTTACCAGCGCGTATTACCAAAAGTGACTAAGATGGGGTCGATAATTAGCCACAGAATAGACTATGATGGGGTAAGGGTTCACTCGACGCTCACCACAGGAAAAAATTAATTCTGTAGCCTCATCGTCCTTGTCCACTGGACTCAAAGAGCCTCACTCCGGTAATAACCTTTTTCACATTTGTCTATTTTAGCTTGTTAGCGAATAAATTTATACCCTCATCATCTTGCCGCAATATCAGTAAGTAAATGATATTTCGTAACAAAAGGAATAACAAAAATACAGATAAAATGCATCATTTTACGCGACGGCACATTTACCGTCTAGACAGTAAGAACCATAGCTGGGAAACGTGATAAAGCGATTCATTGTTTTAAGACGACGAAACTAAAACTAAAGGGCGCCTAAAAACTACATAGTTTTTATAGTTTTGAGGCGCCCTTGAGATTCTTATCCTATTCAATTTCAAGCTTGACTTTTCCATTTCACTTATGTATTTTTGGCGGTTACGGCGTAAACCAACTGAACCAACCGCTGTAACACGAAACCATTTCGGTTTGTACGAAACCATTTGTCGTCACGCTAAACCATTTGGGGTCACGCTAAACCATTTCACTTTACGGTGAGTAGATTGATGCGATACTAAACCATTGCGGCTACGATTAACCATTTGCCGATAACCTAGGCCATTTCACACCACTCTGAACCGTTTTTGTCAACTTACTGAACCAAAGTACAGTTAGCTGAACCGTTTGTCATTTCGACACTGAACCATTTCAGTTAACACTTGGCCACTCATGTTTTTATTGAATCAGTTCAACAAGGGTGGCTACACAGCTCCTCAATTGTATAAACCATTTTTTGTTTGAATATTTCATTTCACCAAATGCGACTTGTCCATTTGTATTTTAAATAAATCTCTTAGGATAAGATAAATCGTTCTCCAAAAGACAATTAGACTCTATCTGTTATTACAAACCAATTCTATTTTTGTATTTTTGGCGATGACAGCCGCCCATATGTGGGCTCTTCTTTCAAATTCAGTCGGAGAATTTCCGGCTTCAAGCTTGCACAGATTTATGGGCCAAGGAACTCCCTGTTTCATTTTCACAACGCGCCGTTGCAATTCTCCGTTCCATGACATAGCTTTCGAGTCTTTCTTAGTACTTTCTCTGTCTTAGTGACTTTGAAACATTTTCATGACGGACTGAGGAAGCAAGGTCGTAAAATAGTCAAACGTGCCTTCCATTTCCGCGACAGAGGTAAGAACGCATGGTTGTATCAGATTATTGAGTGTAAGGTAAATACTTTTATTTTAAATTTTTTTTAGTTGAGATTTCCTCCTTCAAATGTTCCTCATCTTTCCGAACTTTCTCTGATTTCCGACAATGAAAGACGTTCCTGCAGTTAAGTGACGACGATTGCCAACTTTTACTTTATTCTGGCGTGTATTAATTGTATTGCCGCTTCGTGTTAGTTACAAGCTTATTAAGCTGAGCTTGTTTGAACAAGTTACAGCTGTCGAATTCACAAAAATTCGCAAGCAATGCTTGGCATTTACCTTGGACAAAATAAGTAATTCGGGAGAGTTACAAAGGATATCCAAATTATCGATTTGATTCAGTAAAAGCCCTTTTGATCGCAACACTTTCAGTTTCGTTTGCGTGTCATGCGGAGCATGTACACAATCGTGTTTGGCACTAGCTTTCATGTCGGGCTTATGTACGTATTAACTTAATTTGCTCCCGTATTTACGATGCATTTGATCAAAAAGCGATAAACATTTTCAGCGTATTTCATGTGTTTATGTTTATCATTTTATACTGTATTTTGAAAGTGATTTTTTCTTTTCGATAGACAGCTTAGATTGTCCTTCCAAACTGTACTGTTATACTGATTTCCTTGTTAAATATTGAGACAAGTTGATTTTTCTTCAAATTCAGCTAGTTATTTACTGCAAGAGTCCTTTCAATTAACTGCATTCGAGTTTTAGGAATCCAATTCATCAACTGGTAATGATTGATTAGTGTCTGAGTGAAGTTTTACCTTTTGTCATCTGCTAATCAACATACGATCAATCAATAATCATATCAACTGAATGTTTCCGATCAATTTTTTTTTTATCAAAACTGGTTTAGTTCTGCATGAGGCTGCATGCATCCAAGTATGTGTTTGTTGATAATTTATGTTGTTATATGGGAAGGTAGTCTTGGGATAAATGTAAAGTTCTGATTGGTTCTTACTTGGTCAGGATTTTGCCACATAGACCATCATTGCACCATACAGAAAATTATAAAACATGTAAATTCATTGTAAACTAGTTTAGTCCAAGTGACATTGGTGCATGACAATTACCTTGCTCTCTTGAGGGGTTCTGGGGAATATTGGCACCATGTCATTCCTTTTCTGTTACAACCTTGGGCCAATATACCTCTGTAAAGCCCTGGCAATCAGCTGGTTATATAGAAGTTTGTAGTGGTTTTTGTAAAAGCGATATACACTTACAGGCTATTTTGAATTCCAGTTCAATTGACTTCCTTGTTACTCCACATTTATTAAATTTTTTTGTACATGAAGACAGCCAGCAAAGATTATTTGATATTTAAAAAACAACCAGTCATGATTATTAGGAGAATTAAAGTTAGCATCAAAGACAAATCAATTTTGTGCACAGACAATGTAAATATGGAATAACTGCAAAAACAATTAGTTAAATATACATATACTAATAAAGCAAAAATGTCAGCACCTGTACCAAATTGAAATCCATTTCAACATACATCAGCATGCATAAATGTAAATATTTCACTGTTTTTCCTATGATAAAGTGAAACAGTTGAACTAACAATCACCTATACAAATATGGGCATCAGCTCAACTGTAGGAAATTGAATAAATGAAATACATCTTTTATAAGTTTTGACCAGTAATCCCTATTTAAAAATCAAATAAGAAAATTTTACTTTGGTGTTGTAAAATTTGTTTCTTACGAGAAACAATTCAGCATAAACTCTCTCCTCTTGCGGAGACATGGTGGTCTTATGATTAGTGAGGTGGACGCACAGTCAAGAGGTCTGCATTTGTAGCCTGGCCTGTGCTGGACTCAGGGTCAAGAGGTCTGGGTTCCAGTCAATGTGTTGTGTTCTTGTGCAAAACACTTTACTCTTACAGTGTCTGTCTCCACCCAGGAGTATAAATGGGTAGCAAAAATTAGTTAGGGAAACCTGATAAAATGCAAGGGGGGTGAAAGGGGGGGGGGGGGAGATGACAGTGGAATGGACTTGCATCCTGTCCAGGGTTGGGTAGTAATACTCCCAGTTGCTTCATGTAAGGAAACCAGGATTAAGTAAAGCTCAGGCCCTGGACAGGCCACTTTTCAAATCCAGATGTGACCTAACTACCTACCACCTCTTAGTTTAAATGATTTAAATTGCTACTGTTACAAATTATATAAACTTGAAACACACAGATGTTGATTTTTGCCCAATTTATTTCAGTCAATTGCATAGGAATGTCTTTGGTAAATCTTGAAATTTATTGTAATGAGAAGTGAATTACTGTTTATTTAAATATTAATGCTTGTTTTCTTCAGTATATATATCTTTTGTTCTTTTACTGCTTTAAATATGCTATTAATATTAATTGCTTGTGATTTTGTGTCTATGTATCCCTCCCATTCTCAGGAGGGAAAAAATATTTAGTTTACAATTGGGTAATATGTTGAGCTAATTTTTTACCATTTGCAACCATCTTTTTTTTCAGGCCAGGATGACTTAAAACAGCAACTTTTTGAAAGAAGCATCCCCTTACAGTTGCTATGTAAAGAAAGAAGTCCAATTAAGGTTCCATCTGAAAATGAAGACTTACCTGACAAAGAAAATGCTCCAGATTTTGATGAGGACACTTTACGAGGTGAGCTAGGTTCAACTTTGGCTTCAGTCACTGTTAAAACATTTTCTATTCCACCAGTTTCAAGAATGTAAGCAGATGTGGAGAATGATATTAATACACTGCATGACCACCTTAAAGGATATTTGGCCAGTCATGACTCTCTTCTATGATTACAATATGCTGTTCATTGACTGAGAGGATCCATGACATATTTGTTATTTTCTTTTCTCAAATTTCAAAGCAAGTACACAAAGTTATAATAAGTAAAGACTTTATTTGATCATCATATAACATTCATTTTGTAAGTTTGCATCATAAGTACCATCATCATCATCATCTTTCCATTATATTATGCAACATTAAATTGAAAGTTTCAACTTCCCCTAAGCAACCAATTTCCAGTAGAGTGCAAGTGTTATATCATTGAATATGGAGGTGTTTAACCCTTGACACCCTAACATCAGTATCCATATTCTCCATACTATTCTTTGTATGTTTCTTGTGGTACTGAAAAAGAGAATTCATTTGAAGATCAATGCTTCTTAGGTTGGTGATCATTTCCTTTATTCTCATGAGCTTAGTGAATGATTCAGCAGTATTACTCCAAGCTTTTCAGGGGATGGGTCAAGTCAGGCAGGTGCAAAAGTGGCAGCTGGCACTAAAGGAAAAATCTGCAGATTTTAAATCTCCAGATCTTGGCAGCTCTGCTTATGCACTAATTAACTACAACCACAGGTAATTATTAACTACAACCACAGACTTTGACACAAATTATTTTTTATTTTTTCTTTGCAGCCACAGCTGATGTTTATAGAAATGAGGGTAATGAGGCCTTCAAGAAAGGAGATTTCATCAATGCTATTCATTTTTACACCAAAGGAATTAAAATGAACTGCAATGAGAAAGAACTGAAGGCCAAACTGCACAACAACAGGGCTATTGCACATTTTAAACTTGGTAAGATGATGAGAGCTTTAATATGCATTTTTTTTTCTATTTTGAAGCTATTGAGTTGTCAGTAGTAGTTTTCTGAAAAAGGTGATAATTTTGAATGCATGCCCGGAAAAATTTACATCTTATCTTGGCCTCTCAAATATACAAAGAAGTAACCTCTTACCCCAGATATCAATGAGCATCACAAGTTTTTCCCAAAATTATAGTAATGGTAGTTGGTTTGCAACATGTATGGCTAATCAGAGATATTTATTTCAATAACAGGAAATCACCAGGATTCACTAAGGGATGCAGAAGCAGCCATTGAGTTAAATCCAACTTTCCTTAAGGCAATTGTGAGAGGTTAGATATGTTAGCTGTGCTATAATAATAATAACAAAAGAACTCAACACTCTAAGGTTAAATGAGGTTAAATGGAGTTCAATCTTGTCTCAATTGACTTTAATTAAGAGGTCGAGACCACCCTGATGTACATTTGAATCCAGCTCTTGACTGCTACGCCATTACTTTCCATTAATCATGATAAGAATATTATTTTGAACGGGATGAAGAACTCAATGCGGAATGCAAAGCAAAATTTCAGCATGAATATTTTAGTTCCTTAAGTCCAATGAGTCACAGGTGTCAGATATGTTAAGAGCGTGTCCACGAGAGCACCGGGCAGTCGTGCTACAAGCCATCTCACCGATTTCAATGAAACTTTGGCAGTTTAAAGGGTCTACCCCAAAACTCAAAGAGACAAACTGGTTTCTGTTTTGGTTCTTCCGGGGGAGATAGACCACCCCCGGTTTTTCTTGGTTTTCACCAAGGAAATCGCTTCAAATAGGTAAAATGTATGAAGCTCTCACGGCGATGGTATTTAACCGATTACTTTGAGGATTTGCACACATATTTTTACATCCTTAGTTAATGTCTGCTGCGAGTATCAGTCAGTTTGATTGACGGCTTGTCAATCAACAGAGGCAAATATACGACTTTGGTTTTAGACTTTTCGATTCATCCAAATATTTGACAACTTTGAGGTCAAATATCTCCCGTTGCCAGAAAGCTACAACACTAATCCTAATTCCCCTTTATAACCCATCATTTCATCTCTGAAAATCATCAAAAAAATCTTTGGGCACTACCGTATTTTTGTCTTGGATGCCTTTTAAAATCTGCGACTGTGACAAGTTTCTCTCAACTACACCTGTCACGCAATTCTTGCTCTAGGCGGTCACTTGACAAAATAAACCTACATTTTTTAGCTCTTTATACAAGATGATTGATCAAGAAAGGTGAAAAATGTGAAAAACTTTCGAGATTTTTTGTAGGAATGGAAAATTTCACGTTTAGAGAGATGCATGTAAACGAAAAATCAATGGGAAAATCGTAGCGTTTCTTTCTTCAGTCGTTTATTACTTTGAAGATTTGCTAAAATCAGCAGATATGGCTTTTGTACGGCACAAAACATTCATTAGTCTATAATATGATTGTTAATCATCATCATTGCTCATTTTAGGAGATTTTAAAGTCACATGCTGCGTGTTGGTTGATATTACTAATTGTTCCAGTGTGCTACAACTTCGGCTTTTACAGACGAGAAATTCTGCGCTCTCGCTCGAGAGCAAATATCAATAGTTCTATCGGACTAAAAACTGTGCTTCTATCCCGAAAATAAAATTAAAATAGTGTTGTCGTTGTCACTTACCGCCATCGAACATTTCCATGCAGAACTCCGCTAAGCTAACATCTGTTGTGTGACCCGAAGACTCTTAGTAGGAATTATTCAAGCGCGTTGTTCATGCTGTCTGCTAGATAACAATTTCAGAATAATCTGCAGATCTCTATGATTATTTGCCTGCTTCGATCGTAAAATATCTGCATATTTTTTTCAAGCATTCTATTACTACACATAAATCTACATCTCTCTAGATCGAGTGTTGCCGGCGTTTAATTGCGTGACTTGTAAAATTTTTAAATAAGAATCTGAGCCAGCGGTAATTTGACGAGTAGCCTTCCTGCAAATTTCCCTTGATGAAATCCCAAGACATAGCCAGTTGTTTTCGTGAGCAAAGACAATAAATATGAGAGAAAAGTGAGATGCAAATGTCTTCTTTTTTTTTAGCTTAATAGCAGCTTTACCCTCTCCTGCAGTCTTCGTCTAAATTTTGCAAGGTCTCTCCTTATCTTCTGCCTTGTTCGGTCAGTTTCGAATTCTGAAGCTAGATCATTGGCATCGGCCTCTCCGTCCTCATTCATATTTACAGAGGGGGACCTCATCAATAAACCAATTTTTGTTACGGCAGATAACCGGCTGAAGTATCGAGCGATTTGCTGCTGTATCAACCGGTCAGTCTTAGACAACATTTCTGGCTGGTGTCGTCTCTTAAACTCGATATTTGGGAAATCACATTAGAGGCGGTTGCCTTACTAGTTTCCTCCCTTGTCCAGCACACGTCTAGGAGATAATTCTCTGCTTTCTGAGAAAAGGTGGCTGTTTTTTGTGTTTTCCAAAGAGCCCATCCAAAGTCCACTTGGCTAGTTAGGGATTGTTCGTCAGAATTTTTACCTGAGGTCCGACCTCGAACGTAGCCATCCCCTATAGAATGGCAAGCCGGTCTTAGTCCATTTCCTCTTGATCTTATCCTAGGCGGAATTTTTTTGTCGGCTTCACTGTGTTTGTCTTTGTCAGGGTACATTTGGATGGCAGCCAATGACTGAAACGTCTTGATACATCCTTCTTTTAGCAAGAATATCTCGCTTTCTTGTTCCGTCTATGACGGATTGGGTATAGTTCTCGCGATGACCCGCGTTCAGAAATCTGTGCACGTTGCTGATAACCACCCGCTTCTACGATTAGTTTGCTGAAGGTTTCTAATGTGATGAGCCTAGTGAGACCCTGAGGTGCTTCAAACTGTGCCAGTTGGTCTGCGCTATAAACTTGTCGCAGTTCTTAAGTCAGAGGGAGGATCGCCCACCTCTATCTATGTGAGCGCCTCTACAGTACCTGCGTATCCCTAGCAATCATATGATATAAAGTTCATCTCAGTCACAAATCACCAGTTAGGAAAACTGATGTTCAGATAAGCGCTCTTCTTGCCCTTCTTCCTTATTCATTGTCGACTCTAAGATAGCAGCTACAGTACGCGTTCTATTTAGGTTTACAGTCACCTTGCCGCCACCAGAAAGACTCGCCACCAGCTTTGATTTCTTCTGCCATCTGCAGATTCATCTCTCTCTCACTTTATGTCTCCGATTTTTATGAGGAGGATACTGGCATTTACGAACCCGAAGGTCTGAATCTCACACCAAGTTGTGCACGATATTTGAGGTACATCGTGAAATCGCGGCCTTCGTAATCTCCAAATAAGCCAATACGCGCTAGAATAAGCTCCATCTCGGACGAAACGCATGTTTGGGATACATCGACGTCTCTCAAATGTTTTTTTTTTTAAGCTGTATACCCACGAATTTAGAGGTATGAGCTGTTGCCGTCCCTGGCCAGCGCGAGAAAAGTAACATTTGGTTCTACAGTTAGTTGCAAATGAACAAGACAACTGCACCATCTTGACTTTATCAATTCGAGTGTTAGATTGAATTGAGGGCTTTTTAGACACTCGATTTCTTATATGGCATCACTATGAAGACGTAATACAACTGATACACCTACACTACATAGGATTAACAATGTCTGTTGCGCTGTTGCGAGAAGGGAAAAAATATTACCGGAAGTGTACGCTCTTTTTAAAAAGAGTTTCAGAGACGTTTCAGAGATGTCTATCTTTGATCGGCTGTCACAAAAAAATGACCCCCACTTAAATTTACTAGGAAAAATGAACTTACCAACTCCTTGTTGAAAAAATTGGAATTCATTTGACCGATACGCCGGTTGTTTCAATTTTTCTTTTTCCTCGGGCTGCTATGAAACAGTTCATAAATTGACTAATGAATAAAGTGTTTTGAAATACCGTTCGGGATTTGCCTTTTTTTTCTGCGTGCAAATCAAGGGTAGACAAAGTTTTTAAAACATTTGACTAGAATTTCATGGAGTTCACCTCGATAATTTTCGTCGGCCAGAGTCAAGACGCGCCAAGCTAAGCGACATCGCCCTCCAGTAAAAAAATTTTCCAAAGAATAAACGTGGCGAGCGTGAGGAAACGCACATTTTTTTCATCATTGTGATCAAAGCCCAATGATGTACCTAAATTGGTACTTACGGTATCAAACCATTGATTATGACAGGGTGAGCTTAGTTTTTCTGTCGAGGTCGACGTGACTTCACATTAAAAGCATTTTTGACGGAACAAACTAGTGAGCATCACTGCACGAACTGAGAAAGTAAAAACTTGTATTTATCTCCCACGCGTTTCGTCTGACAATAGTAGACTTCATCAAGGATTTTTTCAAGTAGGGTAAATAAGCTTGCTCATATACAAATAGTAAATAAGTTGTCTCTTTACTATTGAAGTCAGTGGATAGAATACGCCAGGTGCGCCTACGGTGTTATACATGCGTGACATTTTCCGGACGTTACATGTACGAGTACGTGATCCGTTTAAGGGTCACAGATTTAGTGTAAATATTTCACTCCTCAACATCACCCAATGTCTCTAGTTTACAGAGGTCTTAGAACGTTTCATTATATGGAGTTGCCTTCTGCGGGTAGAAGGCTACAAGCGAATTTCTCAGGCGTAATTGCCTTTGATTTCTCAATTGATGTTGTCGCAAACACAGTTTTTGGGAGTCACGAGACAAAAAAACTTATCAGGACCTAGTTTCATGTTCTAATGGAAATAAATAGCAAATAAAAACACATTTTCTTGAGAAATAAAGTCACAAATGACGGGGGTTCTCTGAAACAAATAGTGATAGAAAAGGATTTCAGTTCTGGTCAATATTGACTTTTCATGGCCTACTTCCAAATCTGAGGGAACGTGCTGAGGGAATAAAAAAACATAAATGTGTGATAATGCAAGCAAGAGAATGAAAATACAAATAAAGAAAAAGGAGAAAACATAGGAACCCGTGTTGCAGCGTGCAGATATCTTTTGAACCAGACCTACACACATAAGCCCGACACCAGCCAGAGAAACTCGAAAGAGTCCTGTATATGAACTAGCTCGCACGTGCACGCAGGAAAGGCCATGACAATCAGCGAAAATAATAGCAAATGCAGATGATATTTGCAGTCAAAAAACAGGAAAATAAGATAACAGAAGGATTAGGAACTTTCTAGAAGTGTCTTCTTGAAAAAAAAAAAAATGAACAATTTTTACTTCTCATAAAAGGTCACGCAGTGACCCTACAAATACTATTCCTATACGTGGAATTTCTTGATGGTGGAAAGTGGAAAAAACATTTTCCAGTCTTATTTTCTGGAAACATGGCGTAGTTAATGAATTTATGGGGCTATTGATATTTCCTAACAAATAAGGGGGGCAGAGTTTCCCGTCATTCGCGGTATGGAAAAGCCGAAGTTGTTACACTCGGGAACTTGTACGTCAACAAGCAGGCGACATGTGACTTTAAAATCTCCTCTCCTGTTACAGTTTCCTTATTGTAAACTGTGCGATAATGATAATAGACGATCAAAGTATAGGCTAATGAATGTTTTGTTCTGTACAAGAGCCCTATGTCCTGATTTTAGCAAATCTTCAAAGTAATAAACGACTGAAGAAAGAAACGCTACGATTTTCCCATTGATTTTCCGTCAACATGCATCTCTCTAAACGTGAAATTTTCCATTCCTACAAAAAATCTCGAAAGTTTTTCACATTTTTCACCTTTCTTGACCAATCATCTTGTATAAAGAGCTAAAAAATGTAGGTTTATTTTGTCAAGTGACCGCCTAGAGCAAGAATTGCGTGACAGGTGTAGTTGAGAGAAACTTGTCACAGTCGCAGATTTTAAAAGGCATCCAAGACAAAAATACGGTAGTGCCCAAAGATTTTTTTGATGATTTTCAGAGATGAAATGATGGGTTATAAAGGGTAATTAAGATTAGTGTTGTAGCTTTCTGGCAACGGGAGATATTTGACCTCAAAGTTGTCAAATATTTAGATGAATCGAAAAGTCTAAAAACACAGTCGTATATTTGCCTCTGTTGATTGACAAGCCGTCAATCAAACTGACTGATACTCGCGGCGGCCATTAACTAAGGATGTAAAAATATGTGTGCAAATCTTCAAAGTAATCGGTTAAATACCATCGCAGTGAGAGCTTCATACATTTTACCTATTTGAAGCGATTTCCTTGGTGAAAACCAAGAAAAACCGGGGGGTGGTCTATCTCCACCCGGAAAAAACCAAAACAGAAACCAGTCTGTTTTTTTGAGTTTTGGGGTAGACCCTTTAAACTGACAAAGTTTCATTGAAATCGGTGAGATGGCATGTAGCACGACTGCCCGGTGCTCTCGTGGACACGCTCTTAAGTCACTATCTAGCTGTTTTAAAAAGAAGGATCAGGACTTACCTAACTTTTAGTGTTTTTGTGGGAGTTGTTGATCCCAATTTAAGTGTTCTTAGAAGTTTCAGTTGTCTGTAAAGCTAAATAAATCTAACTGAAACCTAATAGGGCCTGTTTATTCTTTTCCGTTTAGTTTTTTTGTATTGTTTTGTTTTGTCTTTTTTTTTTTTTTTCTTCTGGTCTGTAATGATTTCAATGGTTTCAGGTTCTTTTCTCAGAATTGAGCTACAGTAATAGTATGCTTCTTTGTGTTGTTGCCTACAGGAGCCACTGCTTGTGTTGAATTGAAGAGATTTGAAGAAGCAATCACTTGGTGTGATAAGGGACTAGCTGTATCCTTTGAAGGAATCTTTCATTTTTAACCGTGGGTATAATGGAAAAAAGTTTCCATAATTTGATGTTTCAAGGGAGAAAATACAAAGAAGGGTATTAATTATGATGGGAACTTGTCAGCTCATATACTTTAAGTGTGTGTGATTAAAAACATAGGAGAAGTTATTACCTCATGACTTATTAATGAAATTACTCCTTTTAGCCAATTTGACTTAGTTCTACTATCCATGCCAATAACTGGTACATTAGTTTAAATAACCCTTTAATTTCCCAGACCAAATTTGTAATTATCCTTACTGTCAACCATACAATTCTTGTAATGTTAGTACAGAGAATTCAGTATTGCATCAACTAACTATTTTTAAATTGATATATTTTTTTTTACTCTCAACACTTATCTGATTGATATTGTATTGCTATTGTAAGGAGAAATTCTCTTTTGGTCACTCACGGGAGTTAAAGGGTTAGAAGACTAATATTCATCCAGTTTATACATAGTACTTGGGTAGATGATCTCTCTAAAACAAGCCAGAACAAAAAGCTCGGTAATGTTTACATATCTTATGCAGATTTTCTTGCCTTCGACCTTTTTCCACTACTTAGAGACTCGGAAACTTTCGTTGTGCTTTCCTATGGACAAATAAAAATTTTAAAGACATGTATTTGTGTTGTAGACTCATTTCTTCCACTGCTGTAAAACATTTGTCTGATGTTAAAGCTATATTAATTTAAAAATTGAGCAAGTGCTGCTCAGTTTTTGGAAACTAGGGATTAAATCTAGATATTTCGCGTTAAATTTTGAGGCTGCACACAGAAAAAACATTTTTTGAAGTGTAGATTTACTTCATAACTGACTTTAAGACTGAATGTTGATAAATCATCTACCTTTCATGCAAAGCCCTCCTAATGGGCCATTTTATAGTTGTGTACTTAGTTGCCAAGCCTTTGATTTGGAGTGAGGCTGAAGGTGACCTTGTTGTGATAGAGACCAGTATCTAGAAACGATAATAACAAAGTAGTTTGCATTTAAAAAGCAGCAATGTTTTTATCATAACAAGGTCACCCTTAATCATCGCTCTTGTTCAGAGGTTTGGGAACCAAGCACGCAAATGTTAAAATGGACTATTACATATCAATATGATCAGAAACATAATCTTTTTTGTTTTTTCCACATTTTTAACCCTTAACATAAAAAAGATTGACAAAAACAATAGGATCTTGTTGTCATTAAGACTTCAGTCTGTCAGTGAAGTGGGAGATAAGTCCATGGAGGAAAAAGATCCTATTAGTCATGACCACGGTAGTGCAAGTTCAGGTGATGTCAAGAAAGTCATAGATCTCTATAATCAGGGAGAAGAAGCCATAGAGTACCTCAACCTATATCTTAAAAAAGCTAAAGAAGTAGGAGACAAGCATGGGG